CCCCAAAACCCCAAAACCCCAAAACCCCTCAAGTGATTATTATTAAAGAAAATATCCAAATTAATATAAAATTTTTAATCAAATTATAATTGATAATGGAAAATTTGCAAAGTTTCTTTACATAAGTCTCAGAATTTCATTTTGATAATAGATTCTTCAATTATCCTATATTAGAATCTGATGGGGATGACAGAGGAAAATATGCAAGTAAAATATTTATCAGCTTTATTTATCTTTCAAAGTAAGATTGATCAAGGTCGTTGTGGCATTCATGTCAATGACTGGCTCAGTATTCGTAGCATCTACTATATTCTACAGCAAAAAGTTATAAGCGCATCCGCAGCCACTTATTGCTTACATTTGTATGTGTGAAGCTATATCATCTTTCAGTGCGATGATGCAATCTGTAGATTCTAAAGTATTTGCTTCATATTTCGGGTTAGATGAAATATTTTCGTACACAGTGGCTTTTAACTTTAGTCCAACAGACCTTTTAAATCCTGATGATACGGAGGATCATACTATCTATCTTGATAAATACAAGACGGTACTTTGCCATTCAAATGAATACTTCCTGATATATTTTCAATTGATGTCTCTTATGTTGAACATGTGTTTGTGTATTGATCTAATTTTAACTTTGAGAAATCCATTCTATCCCAGCAAAAGAAGAGTTAAATTTTACATTATTTTCTCATCAATTATTGTGTCAATCTTGGTGGTGCTAGAAAAGGACTTCATTTAAAGTAAAAATTCTAGAGTTTTTTATTGGCTTTTATTAGACAATTGTGATGACTACAAAGGTTTTGAATAAAGTACTTTGATTTCATAGCAAGCCTCAAATCTGATTTTTGCAATGAGTCTTTCAGTTTACATTATAGTAGCACTCTATTCTTGTAAGTGAATATTACGATTTATAGTTAAGGTGTGTTTGCACAGAGAAGATTAGCAAGACCAGGCCTTAATAAAAGAGTTAGATGGTTCTTCCTAAGAAAGCATTGGTCATATGTCGGTATTTTTATTCTTGTTTGGACATTGAATCTTGCACAAGCCTACTATCAACTATTTAATCCAAAATCATAAGATGATATTGCTGTAGACAGCTTTAATAAAGTTGAAACCCCTGTACAGACAGTTAGCTAATTTGCAGCATTTTCAACAGGACTCTGGCTCACAATAGTTAGACTTTCAGAGCCATATTTCTACTATATTGTTAAGAAAAAATGGCTTGAAATGTTTGGAAAGCCACCAGGAGATTGCAGATAAAGCAACGAACTCTACAATAACACTTTAAATTCATTCTTGACATAATCCTTGAATGTTGAGTTAGTAAATATAATTCTCCATGGAATCACATAATTCACAAAAAAGTCTTTTGAAGATCATTTGCATGACAGAGAAATAAAAGACATTGAGCTCGAGTAATTTAGTCTGCTAAGAAGACTCGAGCTACCTAGAATTGAGATAGATAATCCTGATACAATTAAAAGAGATAACCGCAAAAAGTTTCAGAAAATGCAAGACTTGCAGCAAAGTTAAAACTAGGATGAAATTAATTTTACCATAGATTAGAATACAACATTATTAGAGGAGCCAAAATAAAAAATAATCATAAATGAGTCAGTTGAGATATTTGAGCACAGTGGCTATGTCTTTTAAAAGCTGAGAGAGATGGATTTCATCTAGAATTAAGATATAATCTAATCTCTTAACCCTGAAATAAATTGAGAAATGATTATGAAAGCTGGAGAAGGCCAGGGTAAAAGCGGTAGCTTTTTCTTTTTCAGTGATGACAAGAAATTCATCATCAAGACAATGACTGACTCTGAATTGTAAACATTCAAGTTAATGTTTAAAGACTATTATGACTTTTTGCTAAAGAATCCAAGATCAATGCTGGCAAGAATCTATGGTATATTCACTGTGCAGATGGAAGATATCGTGCCTGTGCACTTGATATTAATGGGAAATACTATCTAAACTACAAATAAGGACAAGATCTTAAATATATTTGATTTAAAGGGAAGTATCTACAACAGAAAAGTAAAAGGCAAGAATCATAAAAACACAGACACCTTAAAAGACTTGAATCTCTTTAAGAAATGCTAGGATGATGTGGTAAGTTAATACTATTGTTAGTAGTTTTTTTCTAGTTCTTAAAATTTGGAAAGGATGACAGAAGATACCTACTAGATGTGATTGAAGATGACGTCAAATTTTTAGCAGCTCATAAACTTATGGATTATTCTCTCCTGCTCTGCATAGAGAAAAATTGGGAATACTATGAAGTTAAATAATAGGCAGAGGCAATAGTTAGAAATAGATTGAAGAATGAGGAAATCATTTTGGATGAAGACTTTAAGGAATAAGTAAGAGAAGAAAAAATCAGATTAAAAGGAGGTAACATGATAAAACATCATTAAACTTATATAGCTCTAATTCAGACATTTATTGGGAACAGACATAAATGGATCAGCAAATGCGGCAAGTTCATATATCATATGGCTGTCATTGACTACCTTCAAGAGTTTAATTGCATGAAAGTTATGGAAAGCAGAGTCAAAGAATATATTTTAAATAGAGATTACTACGAAATATCTTGTGTTGATCCTTTACCATACTAAAAGAGGTAATTAGTTCTAATTTTTAACTATCAATTTAGATTCTTCAAATTCATGAGTAATCATGTGATCATAGACTTTCATGAGAATAAGAAGGATAGACAGTAGCATAGTTTTATATTAAGAAGACAGTTATCTGGATCAGTATAGCACTCTAAAAGGAAGTGATTAAGTAAAAAGTAATGCCAGTAGCAACTATGACAATTTATCATCCCTAATTTAAATTCTGAGTTTATCGCAATTAATTTCTTAAAATATCTATTTTAATTAATTATGAATAAGTGTAAAATGCATATCAACGGGGTTTTGGGGTTTTGGGGTTTTG